TTCAAGTGAAGTGAATCTGAATCCCACCCATAATCTACCTTTTCTTCGGTGATTAAAAGCTTCATTTCCGCTATGTCACAGCAAACAGGAAATCCTCTCTAAGCCTCCCATCTGTTTTCTAATTAGTTCTTTCTTTTGATATTTCTATTAGTCACCCTGTTAATATGTACAGTATATGCTATTGTACTTGGATTTGGTTTTCAGCAGCAGGGTTTGGTATGTGAGGCTTGTAGACACTTGTTCAGTGTGCTGCTGGTCGCAGACTCTGGGTTTAATCCCAAATTAAGGGACTCAATAAATAATAATAATAATCTTTATTTATAGAGCACTTGACAAAACAATGTTACAAAGTGCTTTCACAAGAGCAAAGAAAATAAAACACAGTAAACAAAATAAGATACACAGTAAAAGCAGGAAGAAAGTTATGAAATTAAAATACAGTTAAAAGAAAAATAGCTAATTAAAATCAGGAAAGGCTCTTCTATAAAAGTATGTTTTAAGATGGGACTTAAGAGTTCACTGACCCAGCCGAGCAGATATTTAGTCATCTTTACACACTTGTCTCATGTGTTTAACATCTTATCTAATCTTTAGAACAGGTATCACTGTTTGAATGATTGGAGCATCAATTGATGATTGATATAAAAGGAAACACTAAAGCGTTTAGGTAGTGCCAAGCGTTACAAAGCCCAGCCAGTATTATTCAGTTGCAGAGTCGCAGCGGCAACAGTTTCAGATCTGACGTTCGGGACCCTTTCGTTTGTAAAGAAGGACTGAACTTCATAGGTCAGATGAGCATGTGCCTCCTTTCACCTAAAAAGTGTAAATATCTGTGGCAAAAGGAGACGTTTCGTGTAAAGTGAATTTATAGTAGGAGTTGGAACGTTTAATAGACTGGCAAATGATACCAGCTTAATTGTAAGTACATTCATATACAGTAACTTTTTTTTTCCTTTAAACACACCATGATAAACAACATAATACTGACTTCAGGTGCTGACTTCTTTGATTCCATTAGTTACATCCTGCAGTGAATTTTTATTGATCTAAAAGTTCATGTGATTCATGTCATCTGAATAAACAAACCTAGTAAATCTCATGTCATGTCATATTTCCTGTCTTTAGAAGCTGATGAGGTTGGCCGAAATCCACCGTTTTATCTGACAGCACAATAAATTAAGGGATGCTAGTCGCTACTCAGAATAATCCCTCCAAATTTGGGCAAAGGAGGGCTGTGTTTCTCATCAGCATGTAGAGAAAAACTAGGACGAGTTCTTGTACTAATTGAACCATACATTTGGTTGTCATTGAATTAATTCCCTTCCTTATTGATCATTTGTACAATAGATGATTCTGAAAACAGGATTATTTCTTCTGACAATTCAAACTAAGTGGATTCACCTGTCCGAAAAGGCTGCATGTTAAGCCCAAGCCAAAAGATGGACATATATGTATATATATATGACATGTTTAACAGTTACAAGTTTTATAGTATTTAATTTTGAGTATTTAGTATCGATCGTAGGCTGGTATGATACTAAGTTCTAATATGTTTTCATATAAATATGAAAGGTAATACCTTAAAAATAGACACAAAAATACAGCAACTGAAAAAAGCATAAACGCATGTCTGCAAACTCCACCTATAGCTTTCACTGCCTGTAGGTGGCGGAAGTATCACATTTCAGCAGCAATATTGTTTCTTGCCTATAGGAGGTGATGTCTACAATACATTTTTGCAGCTGCTGCAGTCATTGTTCTTTAGGTGGAAGAAAAATACAAATAGACAATATGAGATGATTACAGCAGAACAATAATATAATCTCAAAGCCATGCAACACAGGTACATTTTTAAGTATGATTTTAAAATACTCACTGCCAGTCCAACATTATACTGTTTGGGAAACTGTTCAGGTTTACAGCCATAGCACCAAATACTTGGTTTAATTTTCACTTGAGCGTCGCTGAAGAGAAAGAAGTAATAATAATAATAATAATAATGCATTTATATAGCGCTTTATCATAGTAACTCAAACCACTTCAGAGTGGAGTGGGGGGGACTCAAAACCCAAAGCGTGGCACCCACCTGGGTGATGCACGGCAGCCATTTTGCGCCAGAATGCTCACCACACAAGTCGGCTGGAAGATGATCAAAGACACCTTTTATGGTCCTGATCTACAACTTTATGTAATTTATTTTATTAGTCCTAAATTGTGTCACCTTACATTTAAAGTTTGTGTCATTATCTCAGCTCATTGAGATTAAGAGCAAAGAAAGTAGAAAAGAACACAAGAACAGTTCCACTTGTTACAAGGTGCACATTAAATAACAGGAAAAAAAGTATTATCCAACAGAGTCAGGAAAACAAAACATTCTTTCAAACAAGTCATTATCAATCCAAACAGACTCAGTGCCAGTGTAGACAGATTAAAAGGCCTACTGCATACAGAACAAATTAATAGGTGTAAATGATGAGTTGTTTCGCTGCTGCATCAGGCCTTCCTTCATAAGCCAGTGTCTTTACAACGAGGTGCGTTAATATAAACTACAGTGGCAGAAAATGGGAAATAGTTTGTTATTGTTATTGTTAGTTGCTCATCAAACTATATTATAACACGTGATGTAATAACCTAACCATAAACCATCATTCATTAATAATAATTTATGGCTGCTGAATGTGATTGCTCACTGAAAGAAAACATACGTACTTTCTTCAAGCATCACATCTTCATTCACGTCACTGTGGAGAAAATAGTGAAGATTGGTTTTATAGAATAAATTGTATATAGAATATAACATAATATACTATCTATTAAAAGGATTGAAGACATACATAATGGGTAAACATATTTCATTGTTCACTTTATCTCTGTCCTTTTTAATCTGATTTAAAGAACTGAGTTCAGCTGCAACAACTGATCCTGTACTGTAAATTTAAACTCACTGCAATAACTGTAAAACAAACTAGAGACAATGTGACAGTCAAACTGAAGCAGGTGGTAAGAAGTGAAATGATCTTTACTCTCTGGACTTCCTGCGCTTCTGAAAGTAGATCACCACAGCCAGGACCACACATGTGATAATGATGAAAAAGGCGACCCAAAACCCAATGTGAGCTTTGTCATTATCTGGAAAATGTTGGGAAAATATCAGTGTTAGAATTTATGTCAAAGATACAATGTATAGAAATGGATGTGTGTACTGTGTGTCAGGGGAAAAATGTGGGGAAAAAAGTGATCAAACTGAACAATGTGAGACAGTTTGTGGCATTAATGAAAACTGCAAATACAGCGAGTGTCCACTTGTTTTGTCTCGGGGTTGCTCTCAAATTCACTGTTGACAGCAGTCACCTGGAAAGACAGAAAATTCCTAAATCAGGAATTATACCATTTGAAGAAATAACACAAATGGAATAATATTCTGAAACCAAAAATTAGGATTATACAAACCTTCACTGTGTAGGTCGTAGAGTAGCTAAGATCTCTGAATTCAAAATTGCAATTTTCATTTATCCCATTCAGAGTTCCACTGCAATCATTAAGACATGCAATGTATTTCACTGCAGGTCCATTTAAAGTTTTTGGTTCATTACATGTTACTTTAATCACATTATGCTCTGGAACAGTCACCACCAAATTAGTCACACGTTCTGGCTCTGTAAGAGAGTGAAGAAAAACAGCACATTTTCATTTACAACACTGTTTGCTTACCCACAGTTAAAATGAAGTTTTAGTTTCCTATAAAACAAGCCAAAGTAAAAAGTATATAAAGATCAGAACATTTTGTATTATTCTGTATTCTTAGTCTTTAAATGATGAATGAAAGTTTTAAAATTGTACTTTTTGGTATTTATCCTACTCATCTTTATCCTTTATGTGTTGGTAGAAGTTGTATGAGGGGTCTGGACAATCTGCTCTGTAGGTCGGACTTAATTTAATGTTAGATGGCACGTTTAATTTAAAACTGCCCAAACCCCCCGGGAAAAAACACCTACAATAACATACCCAACATGACTCCTCAAACATTAGGCCTATATTCATATTTGTCGTCCTGTCCTTTGATAGGTCAGAAGCTAAGCAATATGAACCCATTGTAAGTAAACCTATTTATGTTACCATTCCAGAGTAAATGAAGATGCAATAAAGGAAAAGATCAGATTTTCATCCTCGTCTAGTATAGAGGGTATGCGCATGACATCACAGTACGCGGAAGTCACTGCAGTACGCTCACTGAGTGGCGGAAAGACGGTGGCAGCTTTAATCAGCGAGAACACAAACAACACATCTAAAATGGGGAAGAGCTGTTGTCTAATTGACTGTACAAAAAGTCAGAGCTATCTTTTACACACTGCCAAAAGCAAAAGAAAAGAGAATGGATCGCTGCAATTCACAGAAACAACCGGAATCTAGGCACCAAAACGTGGATATGCAGTTCCCATTTTGTGTCAGGTAAGTTACTAAATTTTTAACGTTAGCGTCTTCATTTATACAAAAAGCCATAATTATGACCTTGTTCTACAAACAAATGTGGGAAGATTTGTTAGCTAACAGACAAACAAAGTTTTACATACAAGGTGATACTCTAAAATTTCAAAGCAGTTTTACACAGCCAGCCAGATAACTTTAAAAGTTTCTAGAAACTATGTTGACATTATGTTTACTTAGCCCCCCCGAAGCTTGTATGGATAAGCAGGTGAAGATGATTGATGGATGAATGATTAGCATCTATAAGGACTTTGTTAGCATCCATATAGGTAGCTGAATCACACCTCTAGGCTAATTTACTTTAGTAATTGATTCAGTTTTACCTCCACCACTGATCGAACTAGAAACTAGAGCTGTCAACAACCTGGAAAGGTATCTGCGAGCTCAAGAAGTTTCTGACAGAAGACTTGTCAACACAAGTAGAGAGCTGGCGGCCACAGCTCTTCTGAACCTGCACCAGAGCAGGAGGTACAAGCAGAGGTGCAGAATGATGAAGTCCAAGGCACTGAGGTCCAGACAGAGGAGACACACAATGACATTGCCTCATTACATGAACAGATTAAATCTTTAAACACTTTCATGTTAGTGTTTAGTTATGTGTCTTCAGGTTTTCCTGCTACTGCAAAACAGTCCCTCAAGCCTATTCAGGAACTACTTCTTACACTGATGAAGCTGCATCTCAATCTGTCTGAGGAATGTTTAGGCTACCTCAGTCAACAGTATCAAGAATCTTTCACCATTGGATATAGGTAATGGCAAGCAGGCTCCATCCCCTAATACTGTGGCCGGAAAGAGAAGACTTAAGACGCAGCTTACTGATGTGTTTTTGGACATTTTTTAAGAGCTGTGTGAGCATAATTTACTGCTTTGAGGTGTTCATAGAGCGACCTTCAGATTTAACACAACACTATTAAATTTCTTATTTCAATAACACCACAGGGAAGGATCTCCTTTGTGTCAAAGGCCTGGGGTGGACGTGTTACAGACAAACCGAGCACAGCGGGTTCCTTGACAAGCTCCTCCAAGGCGACTTGATAGTGGCTGACCGGGGTTTCACGATAGAGGATAGTGTTGGTTTATTTTGTGTAGAATTAATAACACCTCCATTCACACGAGGGAAGAAACAGCTTATCCGCAAAGAAACCGAATCTGCTTAAAAAATGTCTCGTGTGAGGATCCATGTCGAAAGAGTCATTGGAACGTTGAGACAGAAATACACATTCTGGGCTCAACACTGCCTGTAAGCCTCATTAGAGTGGAACAAAATGGCAAAGTGGAGGACAACCTTATAGACAAGATTGTGTTAACATGTTGTGCTCTGAGTAATGTGTGTGAAACCATTGTGTCTTCAGATTGAAGTGGACATCTTGTACAGGGCTGGATGGTATGGCAAAACATGTTATTAAATGTAAAATAGAAATGTAAAAAGTACAATATAAAAGTTCATATGAAAGCTCATGTAAATGTTATTCAAATAACCCATGAGATTTTCACTGTGATACTGACTTATCTCTTAAAACTGAGCTACTTTAACCTTAGACATGATTTTTATCAAAAAGACAATGGGGAAAAAGTGGTACATTTTGTAAATATTTATTCTGTAATGTATAGAGTATTTCCACATTAATGTTTGGTATTTTCACATTTTTTAGTGACTGCATATTTTTACATTTTGACACATACCTGTAATGCTCTGATGAAGATTGTGTGACTGAAAAGTTTGTAAAGTAAGCCTGACAAATAAAATTATATTTTGGTATGCTGAAACTTTTCTCTTACAGTTTTGACTATTTACTTTCCAACCTTGGACATGAAAACCAGTTGGGGAAAAAAGCTCCTTTTAAGCTTAACATTCTAAAGAACTATATTTCATAAACAATGTAAAGACTAACAGATAATTAGAAAAAGAAAACTGTAAAACCTTTGTTTAGAACTGTAATGTAAAAGATGTTTACCTTGTTTGAAATGTGTCACAAACTGCTCCTTTAAATGTGAGGTTGAAACATACCAGATAACATTATACAAGCAAGAGTAAGTAACTTGAGGCTTTTCAAAATGTCCAGTAGTTCCCCCAAAGTAGTCTACTGTTGTACCCCAGTCATATTGTAACTCAATCAAGGGACTTTTGAACTTGAGCTTAAAAATTTCTCTGTGGGCAAAGTGTGATTTACCTTGTCCTAATTTTATCACCTCAGTATAAATGTCAGTATTTACAGATTATAACATATGTTCTAATAACATCATGGCCGTTCCCAAGGTGAAGGGCTAATCACCAACAGCAGCAGTCCTACAGATCAGATGTTGCACCAAGATTCAGTACTGCATTTCGTGTAAACCATTTTCCCCACATTTGAAAAATGTTGTTGCCTTCATAACGTCTTTCAAAATCGGAATCTGGCGTTATTCTTTCAATAAATAATTCTGAAGGTGTCCACACACAAAAGTTACAGTATGAGGATTTTGAAAGATTAATTTAGTACTGTACTTGAAAGAAATAGTTGTGTTGTCTGTTAAGTTCCAGTGTCACATCGGAAGAACAGGTTGGAACCAAGCAAAAGTCTTTCTTTTGACAGTTCTACAAGTGTGTTGCAGTGGCGGCTTGTCAATAGAGGGCGCTGGGGCGGCGCCCCCATCAAACTATTTTCTATGTTTTTCAATACGTTTTCATGTGGTTTCATGGGCGAGAGACGCCGGACAAATGGATGTCTATCTGAGTCCTTAAATTTTCAGGCAGCATGTGACTTGAAGCTGGTCTCTAATTGGTTTCTTAAAGATTCTCCTTTGGACGCAGGTCGCTGTGTCCTTGGTGAATCAGAATTGGATACATGTTATTTTATCCAATCTGATTGGTTTTCATCACCTGTCATTCAACTTTACGCTCTTGGCCACTACTGTACTGCGAGTGCGTAGGTGACACAGTCACTTCGACTTTTCCAAAACCTTGCTAGGCTGATCAGTGATCACTTTCGTATAGATAAATGGCAGCATTTAAACCAAATTCTGTCATTGATTTACAAAAAAACCCTTTCACAAGGCGTTCGCTGGAATAAAAAAAAAGAATAAAGGATCTCCGACCAGACCAACCCGATTTACAAATCCAGCAGCAGGCCTGTGATAGAGGACGAAGCTAAACTCAAAGCTTCACCCGCGCTTGTTATGAGAAACGGAGGTGGCTGGCTGGATGTGATGTTAGCAATGCCCTTTTTTGCTTTCCCTGTCTTTTATTTCAAAGTGTCGGCACACACACACACATTTAAAGCGCCCCCCCCCCCAAAATAATTATCAGCAGCCACCACTGGTGTGTCTTTTGCCAAGTAAGTGCGTTTTATTTCCAAGCACCCAGAGCCACAACAGTCACAAGACACCTTCCCATCAGGTGATGCACCAAGATGAGTGTACTGTTGGGAAATATAGAGCCCAGTGGGGGTTACATCAGAATTGACGTGTCTTGATGACATATTCCTCCTTAGCCTTGGTATCCTGCTGAATGCCCCACCTGAAAATATTTAATAAAACACAATGTTAAATTTGCATTAGTACATACATACATGTCCATCATTACTCTGCACTAATGAGATTTTATCATTCCCTAGCCTCGACCTTTTGAAACTTCATAATTTGTCTTTTATCTAAAAATGTAAATAATACCTTGTTGCTGCAGTAGTAAACTTTGCTGACTATGGGAAGAAAAGAGCATATCATCACTGCTCTTTATAACAGCACCAAACTTGGAAGCGGTTATCCTGCCGTATCTGTAGGTATACCACATCCTTGATGAAGCCTGTCCCTTTGTCTCCTGTTGAACAAGCTGACACTGGGCGTCTGTGATCTTCAAATCCTCAAAGACCTTATCACATTTTTCAAGAAGTTAAATGTAGGTCAGACCAGCATTCTCAACTTCATAAAGTTGTCCTAACGGTGTAGGATAGACACCTTTCAGAGCCACAGGGACAAATTCGAGTGTTTTGGAGCTACAGAGAGCACAGCTGCTCTTGGGTTTGCTGATTTAGCTTGTCCAGAAAGTCTGGAAGTTCATTTTCTGTAGGTTTAGGTATAGCATCATAGCACACAGAATTCCTTCGTGTAGCTTCGATAATCACATTCATGTCATGGATTCAAAACCTTTCTATGTTCTGGGACATGTCATACCTATAGAAGACAGTTCAGAGCAAGATATTTTCTTTGTGTTGGCTGAAGCCACCGGCATGGCAATGAAGTGCACGGTGTGTCATCGCGCATCCTGACTCCGGACATAACTGCAAACATCAAAGCTGCTGCACGCGAACAGGTCTCTCGAAGTCCTGCCATACATGTACAATGAGCTGTCGAAACGGTCCCTGTCTTCTCTGCAGCTATCCAAGGTTTCAATGGGGGCTCATTCATTCTCCGGCTGTGTTTCACCTGCACAGATATCGCTAAGTAACGTTTGTGAGTGTTAGCTCCGGACAAAACAGACCTACGGTTAGCTAACTTAGTTTTTTTTCCAAATAAAAGTTCTAATAAAAAATACAACGTTATACAAACCTGTCCACAGACGACCAAAATATCCATAGGTGTCCTCGTCATTTTCATTTCGCCGATAAATCCTGCCTTGAAGTAACGTTACGAGCAAGCGTCAAGGCTTTCATACGCCTTCACTTTGTTTTTTGTGTATTTTCCCGGCGTCGAAATCAGGTTCATATAAATGTTAGGAAACTCGATTACTGGCCACATCTCGATGTCCATGGACCACTGGTTCTTTGTTAAGCTGTAAGGATAACTGTCGAGTCCACCTGCCTTTAATTTGAGCAGATAATCGCATGTTTTACTCCCGGTTTCGTTGTTTCCACTGCTGAACACAGCCATGTTATCAGATGTTTTGCCACTCAGTCCAGTTTGGGGGGGCGTGTTCAGGAGGGGAAGTAACTTCAACGCATGCCCTCTATGAAATCTAAATTTCAAAGGCAATATCACCATTATAACCAAGATCCTGCAGATAATAATGCAACTGAATGTCTGAATGCTACGACCTAACATCAGAGCAGGGGTGTCCCTCTAACTTCAAGAAGAACTTGAAAAGTCATCTCTTCCAAAAACACTTGCTCTTATAATACCTATACCCCCTACCCTCTAACATGCACACTGCTCTTATTCTCCTTACAATCTTCTTGTATTGATTGCACTATTTCCTTAACTCTTTCCCTAGATATTTACCTCATTGATGCCAGACCTGCTTTTAGCTCTTACTAGTATTTATTGCTGCTCTTACTAGTATATATTTTCACTTACTGTATTAATGCCTTATTGATGCTTGTATGTTGTTCCTCAAATATAAGTCGCTTTGGATAAAAGCATCTGCCAAATGAGTAAATGCAATGTAATATAAATGTAAACTAAAATACAACACTTATGATACAATTTGTAAACTATTTACATGTGTAGGCCTACATTTACCATGGGAGTTTTTCTTCACACTATTTAACACTATTTATTTCCATACAATCATGTTACAATAACATAAAACCCCAAAATCATTATATAGATAAAATTAATATTGATCAATATTCCTATGAACTCCATCCAATACAGGCAGATAACTTGAGAATAAAAGATCCCACAGTGATGTGTCAGATATCAAATTAATCGTCTCAGAACAGAACAGCATTGTTTTTAAATGGCGAGAAAGACGAATCTGTTCAAATAAAACTAAAGGGTGCGGGAGGGCAGGCGGAAAGTTTACAAGATGGAGCTATGCTATCAGAGCAAGTAAACAGTACTTTGTGTATTTTGACTAAACCTACAAAAACAGCTAAGGTAAGACACAATTCATGGTTGTAAATGAATAAATGTACATTTGTTTTTATTGTTGTCCAACGGGTTATCCCGTGAGTTTGGATCATACTACTATATGAGTTACACAGCTGACATCTGTGAGGTCTGTGCGTGAAGTATAATTCATCTGCAGTTGTTAACATTGTATGATGAAAAATGCTAGTTTAGTGGGTATTACCTAACTAGTCTAGACCTAAGTAGGTTGTTGTAATTTGAGTGGTTGATTGTGTCTGTAGGATGAGATGAGAAATATCTGGCTGGCTGTGACTGCAGGCATGCACCATGTTTAGACAGATACTGTGTTTTGCTACAAGCTCAAGGTGTTTGATCTATGTTTGGTTTAAGCAAGAATCGTTAGCATAGACTTTTAGCTGAGAAGCCTAGCTTTTAGTGAGTCACAGAGAATTACACTGAGAACAATGTTATTGGAATTTTAAGTCTAAAATTACTGTGATCCTGGTACATGTTGTGTACATGCGAGCGCGTATATTTCATATCACTGTTGGTGGTTACAGTAAAACATATCCCGGATATTCAACAGCATGCGACATACACAATCTTCACAAAAAAATTGTTAGGATAGTCTTTTTGTATTATATAGATGTTGACTGTAATCTTCTCCAAAAGATGTGGACACTTACTTCCAATCGCAGTTTTCTGTTTCACTTCAGCTGGTTTGCCAACGTTCTTGTTGTTGTAGGTGGGTTGGACTTTACAGTTATAGTCGGTGTATGGTGTCAGTCCAGTAAAATGACAGGTTCCTGTTTGTGGATGTGTGTTCACTGCAACTGCAAGATAGTTTCATCAGCTGTTTTGTTGTGTTTGATTGAATAACAAGACAACAGAGACACAATTAAAGGATCACACAAATGTCCGTCAATCAATGTCATCCATGTGTCATTGGTACATCATCAGCTCTGATCCTACCTTTAGTATACATTATGTGCTATTGGGGAATGAAACCAGGAAAATTAAAAGTTGAAGCTAATATGTATTTTTTATTTATTTTAGAATTATTTCCAGTAAACAACCAGCTAATCATTTACTGTGAAGCTGAAGTTTTAGCTGTAAATACTTTTTTTCTGACCTTTCTGACCTCAAGAAACAATGATATTAAACTCTGACATTTTTATGTTGTTTCTGTTTCTTAATTCATGTTATCCAACGAAGGTTAAAATCAAGGGCAACTGGACTTGGTTGAAGATACTGGAAGACGTTTCGTCCCTCGTCCAAAGGACTTCTTCAGTTCTGACTGACTGGCAGGGAAACTCAGCTATTAACCTCAGTGGGGTCGTTGGCCCAGGTCATCGATACCGCTGGTTCGTTAGTGTTCCTTGTTGCTGTGACGACAGTCGTTACAGTCGTTAAGACTACCTGTGGCCAAGACTGAACGACCATCGTTGGTATTTTCACCTGAGGCCAATAGGTTACATTTGTTGAGTTTCCTGGGGAGTGATGAAAGAACAGCATGGTAAGTGGGGGATAAGTGGTGGCGTAGACCCCCTCCCCTGTTCAATGACGGCTTCTCAACCCTGGTGTAGATGCTTCCTTGACACCTCTTTCAAACCATCCATCTTCTCTGTCTAAAATGTGCACCTGGTGGTCCTCAAATGAGTGTCCTCTGTCCTTCAGATGTAAGTAGACTGCAGAGTCTTGACCTGAGGAGTTGGCCCTTCTGTGTTGAGCCATGCGTTTGTGTAGTGGTTGTTTAGTCTCCCCAATATACAGGTCTGTGCAGTCCTCACTGCATTGGACCGCATACACTAGATTACTTTTCTTGTGTTTGGGTGTGCGGTCTTTGGAAGGCCAAACTGTTGTTGTGAACATCTTCTCGTGGGAACTCTGTGGACTCAACTCAACAAACGTAACCTATTGGCCTCAGGTGAAGACACCAACGATGGTCGTTCAGTCTTGGCCACAGGTAGTCTTAACAACTGTAACGTCGATGACCCGGGCCAACGACCCCACAGAGGTTAATACCTGAGTTTCCCTGCCAGTCAGTCAGAACTGAAGAAGTCCTTTGGATGAGGGACGAAACGTCTTCCAGTATCTTCAAACAAGTCCAGTTGCCCTTGATTTTAACCTTCGTTGGATAACTATGACCTGGATGACTGAGAATCTTCATAGACATCTTAATTCATGTTAATTTTGTAAATCCTCCAAACTGTGACTTGTTATAACATCTTAGGTTATTTACACTTACTTACTCAGCATGCTAAAGTGTTAGCATGGACCACTGTAGATCCATAGGTGATTCACGTGTCCACCATTTACTTAAGTATTTAGGTAAACTAACCAGTAAAATGACCTTCAAAGACTTCCAAAAGTGCATTCCTATAAAATGAATCAAACAATTACTTAATCTGAATAATTTTACTTACTTGTGGGTTTCTGTTTGGAATTACAGTCACAGCTGCAGCCATAAGAAAGCTTCTGAAGATGAGAAAGGACATCTTGACAGTTGTTACTGGTCGTGGTCCAACTCAACACAATGGAGGTATTGGTTGCACTCAGCATTGCGTTAATTGTAAGATCTGTTAGAACACATTAGACATCTGTAACACTGACTATCTGGTGTTGTCCTTTTCTCCATAGTTATTGTAGGATACAAGCTTGTTGTTCTTATCATTGTACTGAGGTAAAGTGAATATCAACATACCACAGTCAACCTGGAAGCTGATCTCAGTTGTGTTTTTTATGGTGACATTGTTGACATCAAGGATCTGACTATTACAGCTGTAGTTTGTGAAGGGCTCCAACTCAGGCAATTTCTTGGGCTCATTGAGTTTTCCACTTTCTGAGGAGACACAAGGATGACCACATTTCTTCTACAACTGGTAGTTTCATCATTGGTTTCATTTTTTTAGAGTTAGATTAGATTAAAATATCGACACATTCAGAGAAAATATCAAAAATAAATGTTCTCTTCAGAACTAATCCACAGAATACTTTACTTCACTCACCCCAACAGGTGTAATTGGCGGTGAGATCATGACAGTTTGGAGGAAATGTTGTTTCTATTTCTGCAGGAAATCCAGTGGGAAAAGTCTGACTTATTTTACTTGAATTTAAGAAATCTGTGGAAAAAAGAAAATAGCACATACATTAAACATGACTGAGTAAATGCAATTCAAAATACAGGAGAACACTACTGTACATACCAACAGGGATGCTTTTGGTGAGGCTAAAGGAGTTTGAACAGTTTCCTGAAGTGAAGGTTGTGGTCAAATCTGAGCAGATGTCATCGTAATGAGGTTTGATACACAATATTTTATTGTCACTTTTGCATGGCTCAGCTTGAATGTGATTTGATGTTGACAGTGAAGAGCTGATGTTCCAATCACTACGGTAACAAACGTATCCAGGGGTGCAGTTGACTTCTTCAATGTCATCTTTACCTGAAATAGACAAATGATGCACAAATGTCTCTCTGTCTTGTTTCTTAAAGCAAAAAAACAAAAGTAAGATGCAGTTCAAAAGTATGAATTATTGTTACTTACGCATTCCAATTGTCTTTGTGATTTCATTTCCAGCATCGTTACAGGGGGTTTCTTTGCTCGCATTCAGTTCAATAAATGCCACATTAAGCTTATATTCAGTGCAGGGCTTCAGGTGTTTGATATTATGTGGTGTGTTTTGATTGGAGTGCTGAACGTTGGATTTCTTTACAATCTCAGGTGAGCCCTTCTCTTTAATGTTTATGGTGTAGGTACCATTGGTATAGCTTGTAATGTTAATCTGGAAGCCACCCTTGATGCTCATAACAGTGTAAAAACCTGCACACAAAATTAACAGAATCATCAAAATCTCTTGGTTAATATAAACCACCTGATGACATTTTTAAATCTCAGTTTGTTCATGTAGATGCTGAACATGCTCCTGAGTATGAAACAAAATATAATCCTGTATAAATCAACTTTAATTATATTAATTGCAAAGTCAGAGAGAAACAATGCAGAGTAAGACTGTAAACCAATACAATTAGTACAAATGTTTGTTAAGATGAGTGTAATGATGAGATATATTATATCTTGAAAGAAAGAAACACTGATACTCACAATGTGGAGATGGAGGGGCATTTGTGGTGGCTGGAGAGCACATTCAAATGAGATTAGAAAACAACAAAATATTAATGAGATTACAAAATGTTGAAATATTCTTCCAAACAACATGCAAGTGAAGCAAGTGTCTGTGTTTTATGAACTTCTTATAACCCATTCCTTAGCAGTGCTAGTGGTAGAAATTGTTTTCTGCACTTATATGAATAACACATATATGTAAGTCTTATCATAGTCCTGTATTAGAACAAATAGGTCTAAATAAGAAAAATCCAATGATGTTAGTAGACACTGTGGTGGTGATTGGAGTTGAGGTCTGGTTTGTGGTTGGAGAGAGTGATTTCTCAGTGGTTGAGGGTGAAGATGCATGTAAGTTGTTTGCAGGAAGAGTAGTGGCTGTAGGATGGAGAGCATGCTGGAGGTCACCTTCTCAAAATACTTTATTGCCAATACTCTTACCTGATGTAAGCCTAACTACTATTTCAGAAAGATATCACGCTGAAAGCAATGCTAATGTTTCCAATTGATCATATCTAGTAGAGAAGTGCTGACGGGTACTTAGAAGGGTAAAACTTCTTTAAGCAGCCTAGTTGGGATGGGGTCTAAGAGGCAGGTTGATGGTTTAGATGAAGAAATTATTGAAGTTAGTTGGTAAAGATTGAGGGAAGCAAAGCAATCTAAACATGTATCTAGTTTTACAGCTGTTTCTAAGGTTCCTGAGCTTCTACATGTAGCATTTTGCTTCTAAAGATGATGACCACATAAATCCTGTTTCCTCTTGTTACAAAGATGGTGTTGCTACTTGTCAATCCCAATTCTTAAGTTATGTCTACTACACATTTGTATTAAGAAGAAAAAATGGCGAGGTTCTCAAAAGCAATAGTTGTACTGGGCAGAACAAATTTATATTCAGAGCAGGAAAAGCAGTATTCAGCTGTTCAGTGGGATTCTACAGCTAAAATAGCAGAAATGTAATCAAGCTGAGCTGAACTGTAGCTATGAGTTTAAATACTTCTTGTTTTGGGACTTTGCTGTCTTTCTTTGTCAAAACACAAGCAAGGTTGTCAATATCAACAGGATGATGTCAACAGTGGTAAAGTGCTGGCAAAATGTTGCACCAATAGCCACCTCACTTAGCTTCTTCACAGAGTAAATTGGATTCAATATATAAACATAGTACTGGCTAAATAGAAAATATATAATCTATTATTAAACCAGAGTTGATGAAGACATTGAAAGACAAGTTTGGCCTCAACTTTGATTACATGTTTTTACTATAGCTTTCTCAAAGAAACTGTAGGGTAACCTCTCACAGCTTATTTCTATAAAGCCAGGATCAGAGGATAAAGATGATGGAAATAAGGTTTTCATAAGATTTTCCAGAAAACGTGTTCAAACGCATTTTCTTCCGATCACTGATGATTGTAGAGTACCCGCTTTTAGGAAATATTAGGATTCATGTTTCACTGACTGCATAATCAGTGACTTACTTGCTCCTGTGATGAAGAAAAGTTGCATCCATACCGCAGAATTTGACTCACTTAAATACTAAAAACTTTAAACTTTAAATTCTCCAGACTTTGTTTGAGCTAAAAGTTTCCCAAAATATTAAAAACATCTAAATATCATTACAGCCTATTTTCTAATTCTAACTCTTGTGCTTTAAATACTCTGGACTCCATTTGTTTGACCTGAACATTTCCCAAAATAAGATTTAATGCGTTTAAATATCATTACAACTGATCTTAGATATAACTTTACAAAAAACATGAAAGAGGTTTAAAGGGGCAATCACAACATCAGTGTTGAAATCTTTCTTGTCCTTAACTTATACTCACTTTGCAAAATTAGACAGGAGGCAGAAAGGTGAATACCATCATCAATGCATATAACGATTGGGATTGATGCTATGCAACAAGTTATTGTTAGTTTGATTTAGCTCAGCTTAAAAGCAAGCCAACTAAGAATTACAAGGGAAGATCGACACGCAAAGGGCCTTTTCTTTTCCAACTTGAATGTTAATGAAAATCCCCCAATGCAGATCAGCTGCACACTGTATCAACATAACTCCACCAAAGGACGGTGGAGGAATGTGGGGCTACCATGTGTTTGGTGCTGCAGTGTCCACGAAGAGATGATACAGTGTAAAGAGACTGTGGGGTAGTGGGATATTGCACAAGGTATAGCACAGACGGTGGCATAATTAGAAATAAACATTTTATTAATTAGATAAACAATTAAATTTGTTAATTTACTATTGCCACTCACCTATTCCGCCTTCATCTGAATCTAAAAAATAATAAGAAAAAATAAATAAATTATTGCAGCTTTTTTTGTCATAAAAGAGTACAGTATACTGCATATAATAATGCAGAAAAATAAACAAACAAATATCAATAAAAAGTACAATTTTGCAAGCATTACATTTATAGAAGCATGAAATTCCAGTCTTTCCTTTCACTGATAATGATTGTGGAGTACCAACTATTTCACTGGCTGCATTATCAGTGTCACCTAAATACTAACAACAACACTCGACACAGAACTGCAACTTCTAATTCTAATTCAGAAAAGATTACATATCTTAGAGTAAAACTTGACAAAAAAAACTGGGAAGAGGTTTAAAGGAGCAATCACAGCATCAGTTTAGAAATCTGTCTTGTTCTTAACCTGTGCTCACTTTGAAAATTAGACAGGAAGCTGAAAGGTGAATACCTTTCATTGTGCAAACATGCAATGGTTTATCACTGTATATAATGTGATACATATAATATATATAAAATTTCCCCATGATTTAAGGGTCTACTTTTCATTATTGAGAATTAAAAGGTAAACACCTGGGACAAAAGTTTGACCTGCAAAAGGTGTTTTCTTTTCCATGCACTATATGAATGTCACATTAATTCCTGTATTGGACTTGAATGTGAATGAAAATTCGCTTTGCAGATCAGCTGCACACTGTATGAACATAAGCATTTCATATTGTTTTGGCAAATGCAATTTACATGTTTTAACATAACATAACATAAATATCTGTGTAGGTAAGGTTAACTGCAGCCCCACATTCCTCCCCTAAAATACTGTGGACAAACCTTGTATCAGGGAATGTTGCAATACGTGGACATCATTTTCACCTGTTCATCATGAATAACTGTTTCCACATGTAGTTTATGTTGTAATTATTCCTCACTAAAATGGAGGTCAATGGACCCCAAACTACTTATAAGAGTGATTTATATATATTTATGTATATATGTGAAATATAATTCTGTCAGGTATTTTACAAGGTATAGCACAAACATTTTATTAATTATGATAACAATTGAATTTGTTAATTTAGTATTGCCACTCAAATGTTTGGTCTTGACCTGCAATTACAAATTAGAAAAAAAACTAAAGCTTTGCAATTCTTGTGTCATAAAACAGTAAATGCTCTGTATTTGTATAGCACCTTTCTAGTCTTTTTGACCGCTCAAAGCGCTTTTACACTACATCTGCATTCACCATTCACACACATTCATACACTGAGCTTAAGTGCTCAAACAGAAACTAACATTCACACACATTCATACATTGGCGGAACAGCCACCAGAGGCAATTCGGGATTCAGTATACTTCGACATGCAGCTGGAGGAACCGCCAACCTCCTGATTAACGGGCAACTCGCTCTAGCTCCTGAGCCACAGCCGCCCTACAGTACAGTATACTGCATTTAATAATATAGAAAAAGAAAGAAACAAAAACCAATACAAAGTGATTCTTTTCATGTGTTAAGTTTAATTAAAGTGTGAAGTGAAATTTATTCCTATGACGATGATTGTAGAGTACCTATAGGGTTGATGATTTATGGAAAAAATCTAAAAAAGATTTCCTGACAAATATTGCGATCATGATTAGATTTGCGATTTAATAAAAAAGTTTAATTTAAGTTCAATATTCCCTCTGTAATAGATAAACAGCATTGCTGCATGAGACACCATCAAAACTGTGATGCGGCATTTCAAAATAAAACACTGATTCCTGATCATATATCAACAATAAAAAAACGACAAAAAAAATAAACAATTTAACTATGTAGCATACCTAACAAAGGTAGAAGCATGGAGAAACTGGGAGTAAAAAATGGCCCTGGACTTTGATCCAGACCAGTCCACCAGAACAGTCACGGCAGCCCTGTCAATGAACGCACGTACAAATAGGCCCACCCTCAACCACCACAGTCCCAACCACCCTGCAGCATCACAGCCACTGATCACTATGGCAGTAGGCTACTACCTTAAAAAGGCTGCAGAACACACACACACACACACACACACACACACACACACACACACACACACACACACACAATCATGGCCGTAACCACCTATGAGGTCACTGAGGTCCGGACTTCTGTAATTATATGTAGACTAGCCTATTAATAAAAGATTCTAATAAAAACCATTGGTAACAAGCTCAACTTAAATGAAGGCTTTAGCACCATGTGGACGCAGCTGATTACACCATCTCAACCCTCATGTCAAGTTGAAAAAGTATTTCCCCATCCATTGTCAGTGTCTAGATCTGGGGAAACACAAGAAGCACATGACAACATTGTGCACGCATAAACTGAGAGCACCAATGTTCGCAAGCAAATAAACAGGGTTCCAGTTATGTGGGTGCTCAGCTCCCATAAGGAGGGTCTGAGCTCCCATGGAAGCAGTAAAATCATTTATTAGTGATCTGTGGGGGTCACTAATTCATTTATCAACAACCATTATTTTGAATCACAAATAATAATAAAGCCTATTTTTCAATGTAATTAGTAACTACTAATATTTACATTAAAAAGATAAACAGACTGAAATTAAATTAGACTCTGTATTGACTGCTGCTTATTTGTTTAGTATTATTGTCTTTTTGATGCATCCTCCAATTAGTACAGCGCTACATATGATAATACGCTTGCTACTGTGTGCCGGTGGCCAGCACAAGTAGTATTTCAAAACCTGCTTATAAATAAATAAAATAGAAAAAATAGAAATAAAAACATGAAGTGTGGACTAGAGAGTTGCATTGGGATTGGGATCCCGCGGGACCCAACACAAATCGCGCGGGAGGGTGCGGATAAGATGGAGTCAACAATCGAAGTCGAAAAGACAATTAAAAAGAGCACATGGGACTGCTCACAAAGACGTACTTCACGGGCTTGACTCCAACCGGCGACCTCGGGTAGGGAGGCAGACACGCTGACGAGGGAGCTAAACCATTGTGTCCAATGCCAAATATTTTTTGACAAATAGCTTAATTTTGTGCTCAAAGTTGCAAAAGTTGCTTAGTTGTTAAAACTGGATGGTGAGGTAGGACTATAGTAATTCCATAAGTCATAAGTCATTCTCCAAGCTTGCGCAGGCGCACTGTCATGCCTCGTTAAAAAACTGGAACTTTGCCGTAACACCACGGACATGCTTTTAAGCCTGATTATTACTTCTGCATTAAGTCTACACTGTAGCGGCGTAAGCTATGCATGTAGCCATGCATTTATACTGTCTGCGTCGTTCTGCAATTACAACGCCAAAGCGCTAGTTGGCAGTAACGTCCTAACATCCACTGTGTTGACTTTTGCCAGCCGAGCTGGCTAACTTCTGGTTTAGCCTTCTGCTAACATGAATGGAGGTAAATTGATAATCGTGCGGCTCGACTTTTCAAATGTTATCAACCGAATGGATCACATTCTGATAGTGAAAGTGAGGCTTGTGACGCTCAAAAATATTGATTCACTGTGTTACAGCCGCTGGTTTGGCTGCTAGTAAAACTGGCTTCAAAGCAAGCTTCAAATGGAGCACTTCCTGTGGCTTGGAGGAAATGCGACTCTACCCAGCCAACTAATCACAGTTCTTGTGGTCTGCATAGCCACAACGTGTAGTTACATTTTTTGGGAGGTGCACATGAGGCTATGGCGTAGGGTACAGGGCTAGATTCGACACAGAAGTGTAAATCAGGCTTCAATCAAAAACTTACAACATAGCATCATGAATGTCTTAATGCTTTTCTGAAACAGTTTTGATGTGGGTGTGGCCAACCTGCTAGGAGTAGTACATCACAACGTAAAACTTGATACATCCGGTTGCCAGCAGATGGTTCTATGACTTTGAGTGAATATTGGCACATGGTTGTGCTGATGGCGGGACTGTCATCATTTACTAGAAAATAAATAAATAATATAGAAAATAATATTAAAGGTTCAGTGTGTAATATTTCTGAGGCTCTATTGACAGAAATGCAATATAAGATCCATAACTATGTTTTCAGTGGTGTGTAAAGACCTTACATAATGAACCATTATGTTTTTATTACCTTAGAATGAGACATTTATATCTACATAACTGCGGACACCCCCTGCTGTGACTGCGGTAACGTGAGCCGCCGAATGCGAAACCGTGGTCAAGCCAGCCGCTGTCTGATTTCTGTTGCGCCTAGAGCAGTGTTATTATGGTTAAGGACGAGTTGCGAGTGAGTCGAAGGTCCTGAAAGATACATATGTGTTTTTTTGTGATGCTCTTGGTGATTATATGAACACAAATACATACAACAGAAATATAATAATATTACTAATAACAATCATGATTATGGTTGTATAATTTATTATTTGTTATTAATGCAAATACAATATGTACCTTTTCTTTTGTTATTTTGTGAACATAATTTATATGAAATTTGACCTTTCACCAGCATAATTCCTCAGGAGTTAGTTCAGCATTGTCATGGCTTTTCCTTCCTAGTGTCCTCTACTATCACTGGTACAAATACCATCATTTTACTGTACCAAATTGGAGAAATTACATTCTAAAAACCCCTCCAAGAACAAAAATTAAACAGTTAGCATTTCTGTGAACTTTGACCTTTCACCAAAACAGTTCCTTAATAGGTGACACCACTGATTTCATATCATCTCCTTCCTAGTGTCCTCTACTATCACTGGTACATATATCATAACACTTTACAGACTGAAGCTAAGATTTAAACAGAACTCAGAGCAGACACGGGCAAACACTTAAGACATGAACTAAGATACAGGAACTAAGGTACAGGACTAAGAACTAAGACACCGAACTAGGATCTAAGGTACGAGACAAGACAGATATGAAGTAACTTAAAGATGCGGATGAATAAAATAATAATGGCTACACAGATTAATAAATGAAACTGGCAGAGAACATAAATTGACACCTAGCAAACAGACAGAACCCAAGCACAATTGTACAGAACAAACACATGAGAGACAGGAAGAGAACTAAACAAGTACTAAGGCAGACACCGAGATAACAGGACAGATCAGACCAGAACCACCACACAGAACAAGCAGAAGACTGGATACAAGACTACAGACAGACAGGACTGAAACCCAAAACCCAGACACAGAGAAACCAAAATCAACATACAGAGAAGGCATGACCAAAATATTATAACCCAGACAAGCTGAGGACAGGATCGTGACAGTAGTACTGTTGAGGTGTTGTGGAACCCCAGGTTGCTTTGATAGGGTACTCAGCTCGTCTGTATTGTTGGGTCTGGTGTTTCTCATTTTCCCTTTTGACAATACCCCATAGATTCTCTATAGTTCAGGTCAGGCAAGTTGGCTGGCCAATCAAGCACAGTAATACCATGGTCAGCAAACCAGTTAGTAGTCTTTTTGGCACTGTGGGCAGGTGCCAAGTCCTGCTGGAAATGGAAATCAGCATCTTCATAAAGCTTGTCAGCAGATGGAAGCATGTAGTGCCCTTAAATCTCCTGGTAGACAGCTGAATTGACTCTGGACTTGCAAACGTCACACTGGACTTCAAGCAACATGGATTCTGTGCCTCTCCACTCGTCCTCCAGAATCTGGGACCTTGATTTCCAGATGAAATGCAAAATTTACTTTCATCTGAAAAGAGGTCCAATTCTCTTTCTCCTTAGCCCAGTTAAGATGTTTCTGATGTTGGTTGCTGGTTTTGTACAACTTTTAATCATCCGTGTAATAAAACTGCACAGAGAAAATTTAATTCAAGTTGATTGGACTGATTCCCTAGGAGGAGTTTGTTAAAGTACGGAACGTGTAAAATGCCTGACTTCCTGTCGTGGATGGTTTTGCTCCAAGAGGCTTTTTTGTAGGTCTGGACATTATACATCTGCCACAAAAATTGCATACATTTTGGTGAAACGTGGCCTGTGGGCTGCCCTTTAGGGGGCGCTAGCGAGCCATTTTGCCTTGCCCTTGCACAACAACCTAGGACACGTGCATTTTTACCACGTTTGAAGTTTGTGCAAAGTTTAATGAGTTTTAGAGCATGTTTATGCTGCTAAAAATGTGCATTATTTGCAGAAAGAAAGAGGAGGAAAAACGATTATTTCGGTTTCAATGCAAATGTGTAAATCATTGCAGTTTTTTCTTATATCAGAGTACAGTATACTGCATAAAGAGACACAAGAATGTCAGCATTTGTCCATCAGTTGTTATTTCCTCCAAACCAATGAGCAGTTACTTTTTGTGTTTAGATTTGGACACATTCAGAGCAAATAAAAGCTTCTATTCAAAACAAAACTGATTTACAGAGTACACAAAGCAAAACATCAAAGTTCAACTTACACCATAGAACAGAATTTAAAGTAGGTCACTACAGTTCTGAGTAAATAGTAATCGTAATGGAGATTGTTGCATTGTTTACATTTTACCATTACGTTGAGAAGGAGCTCTTTGACGTAAATCGCTTGAATTTAGGAATTTGGTGAAAGGAAGAAATAACATAAATAAAATACATAAAACAGCCCACGAATCCGTTGGAACTAAACAATTAACAAAGTATACTGCGTTCTGTAATTCCTATAGCTGTGGAACTATATAGAGACATACTGTGATTGTGCTTACAGATTTGCATTTCATAGAAGACTGGATAATTGACCTTGACAGAGGTCTGTGCTCTCTGAGTGCCATTTTAGTTATGACATTCATTCAGGTGCTAATAACTATTTCATACGTGGGCTATGTCACGGTTTGGTGTGGGTGAGGCAGGGCTGAGCTGGTTGGAGGACCCAAATGCAGGACGCAAGGCAAAGGAGGTACAGTTTAAGGGGTTTTAATAAACAAACAAAGGCGAGCACACAACTGAGTGGCCAAAACAAAGTAATCCAAACGAGAAAACCAGAATCCAAAATAAGCAGGGAAACAGGGAGACACGACGAGTAGGCTGCCAACAAGGCAACACAAGGCAACACAAGGTAACACTGGGTGACAATAAACAATGACCCGACAAAGACAAGACAGAAACACCAGGTATATATACACACAGGGACTAACGAGCAGGGCGGGAGCAACACAGGTGAAAGACATGAGGCTAACGAGGCACAGGTAGGGAGAGAGAGAGAGAGCAGGGGAAAACAGAGACAGACATGCAGAGGGATCACTGGGGTAACAGACATGACAAGGGTTACCGAACACTAGACGAAAGACAAGACAGACCCCCAAAACCCAACAGACCACAATAACGCTAACTAAACACAAAAGGGCAAAACACCGCATGGCAGACAGGCAGAGTGTGACAGGCTACTGGAGGTTAAAAATGGTAAGTGTTCTACTTGCCTTGTGTCAATTGAGGAGTACTATTCGGGCTGCAAAAACAATCTTATGATGTCTTCTGTGTAAACTGAAGGTTGTCAGTAAATGAAACTCATGGTTGCAAATTAGTTGCATATGAACACAAGGGTCACGACAGTAAATCTAATATTAGAAGAGCTTGTTTGTGATTAGAGGGGCTAAAGACTTTATGGCAGAAGTGTTGCATTAGATTACATTACGTTGTGCAGGTGTGCCTTTATATAGTGGCTACTTAGTGTACATTTTAGAGCTATTTCATGATGGTTTTAAGTTTAAAAACATCCATTAGCCAAATTGTCCTGTTATATTGTTATTGTTATATTCATGCATGCACTATGGGCCTGGTGGTTTTCATGCTTATTTAACCTGCATAATCTGCATCCATTAATCCATTGATATATCTACTACTATAAACCAATATAAAATATTGATCTGTTAAAAATGAAAATGAAACTCACACTGTGGAGGTACTCAATAAAAAAACATTAACATGTGACAGACACTTCTATACCCTCTTACAAGAATACCAAAAGCATGTATTTTATTAACTACCTGTAGGCCATTCCTCAGCAGATTGTATTTTATTTAAAATAATACACATAGTTACTTACAGTTGGCCAAACCGATTACAACACCCCAGATCAGCAAGATCTTCAGACTAGAGAGATGTGCCATATCCAGCTGTTAGACTGCATATACATGTCCAGGTTGGAGACCAAGAGAATATATTACACCAATAAGGAAGTTGTATTTCCTCTTTTTATTGGTGCGAAATTGTAAGATGCAGCTTTGCCACAAATAATAGTAAGTTTGTTCTCATCTAAAGCCCCACCCACACTACTCCTTTTTAGTTTACAAATGGAGAATTAAAACAAATACAGTCTCCGTCTGCACCAGCGTTTTTGCTGCGTATCAGAGGTGATCTCCGTCTACATTAAAACGACTGAAAACTCACATCTATTGGCTGTTCGGGTCCACTGGGCATGCGTGTGCCGGTGTAAACATGAAGCAGGTGATGTATTCCAAAGTTACAGAAGATTTGGCGAAAGAATAAAAAAATGCAGATGAAGAATCAGACCAGATTTTTTTTGCACGCATGAATAACGAGCTGGGACTGTTACTGAATGTAACACGGGACTGTGGCGGAAAACAGACTGGGAGTCGTTGCAAAGTAAACGCGGTGACATGCATAGCCTAAAAGTGTAGGCAGATAGCCTAAGTGTTATTTGCACGGTACAGAATATTTTAATAAAAATACCAACTCAAAAACTCTGTCAGTAGCATTGTGTTTCTGCTTTGCAAGACCAAAATCTATGTTTTGTCCCCCTCACTTTTACTTTTACTTAAACTTAAGGGAGAAAAAAGAGAGAGTTTGCTCAAGGCAGGTGCAGCAAAGTGCCTCAATATTACGTTTCTTTTGTGCTGCTGTTATTTATAGCCTACCTGAAGACCGCAGTGAGGACGCCTGCAGCAGGGTGGGAAGTAACGCAAATTTGTTAAATAAATAAATAAAGTAAAATAAGTCACCTTTTCACGTTCCTTTTTTAAAACTGTACTTTTACTCTTTAGCCTACCCCAGGATTTTCTTTGGGCCAGTAATCTACTTTTAATTTCGCTACATTTTCCATTCATACCTTTATAACTTAACCAGTCTCTTATCTGCATTTTCTACTCTTTAACAAGCCGTCAAGTGAATCACTTTCACTTTATATTAACAGCGTATTAAAAGCATATTAAGTCTCTGCAGAGCAAATGAAGACATACTGTAACATGTCTGATGATCACTGGATTGATTCTGGTACAGTCCCCTCCAAAAGTATTGGAACGGTAAGGCAAATTCCTTTGTTTTTGTTGTTCACTGAAGACATTTGGGTTCAAAATCAAAAGATGAATATGAGACAAGAGTTCAGAATTTTAGCTCTCATTTCCCGGGGGGGCCCGTGGAGAACAAATGTGCAGAGTTATAAATGAAAGGGGCTTGCGGTTACGATGTGAAATGAATGTATGTCTATGGGAGTGTTATTTGATTTCCAAGTAATAGCGCCACCTAGTGGACGATTGACGCCAAATTTGACACAGCCCCTCCGGAGGGCATGCCAGATAAGGTCCCTGAGTTAGGTGTAGATCGGGCATTGCAAAGCTAAGGTCTGACATGACATCCTGTTTTTAGCGTTTCCGCAAAAATGTGTTAGCTTATAATTCGGCCGTTTTTTGTCGGATCAAAATTCCCTCTACAAACTTTCTTCGGCTCGGTCCAGAGATGGTCTGTGCCAATGAATTGGACTTGTGGCTTCGGAGGAGTTAATTAAAATAGGTTTGTCAGTTTTTGCGATGTAGTGAAAAAAAAGTTTAGGCGGAAATGGGCGTGGCCTATACCACAACGCGTGGATATAAGGTTTTTGATATCTGCCTTCGTAGGCGGGAGTTCCAAGCCCAAACGCGTTGACCTTGCTTATAGCGCCCCCTAGTGGTAGAAGTGTGTGTATTTTTGCGCCTTAGTTACTTGCAGGGGCTTGAACCTACCCTATGAGTTTCGCATCCCTAGCAGTTACCGTCTAGGCTGCAGCAGTGGAATTAGCGTCGGAAGAATAAAAAATAAATAAATAATAAAAAAAACAAGAACGATTACAATAGGGTTCCCTGCTCCGCTGGTACTGGGAACCGCGATGCCTTGCATTCGTGGGTTGCCCACTTCGGGCTTGGACCCCTAATAACATTTAATATTTGGTGGCATAACCCTTGCTTGCAATAACTGCCTCAAGTCTGCGACCCATCGACATCACCAAACTATTGCATTCTTCATTTGTGATGCTATTCTGGCTTTTACCTTTTCATCTTGTGGTGTGACTCTCCGAGTCGTATTCCAGCAGTGGATTGTGATACCTTCACCCCTGCACTGTGGAGATCGTTGGTGATGTCACTCACTGATATTTTGGGGGTTTTCATCACAGGTCTCACGACATTTCTGTCATCAACTCTTGTTTTCCTTGGCCGACCTGTTCGTCGTCTGTTGCTCAGTACACCAGTAGTTTCTTTCTTTTTCAGGACATTCCAAATTGTTGTGCTTGCTATGCCCAATGTTTGTCAAATGGCTCTGGTCGATTGTCCTTATTTTCTCAGCTTGACAATGGCTTGCTTTTCTCCCATAGACAGCTCTCTGGTCTTCATGTTGGTTTATCTTCTTTAACAGGAAATGCAGTCTTTATAGGTTTGAACCAAAGATCAAAACTTAGACTAGTCATGCAGAGCTATTTAATGTTTGGACAAAACAGTCCTGTTGGGCTTTACGCACGATGCACAGCTTCCTCTGTATGTAGGTTTACCCTGATTCAACAACAAGCTGCTCCTGTGTTACTGCCACAATAATTCTTTGCGTTTTACAGATTATTTAGATGCTTTAGGAATAATCAGATTGTATTGGCTGCCTGTGCTACTGCAAAGCAAGTGGTTTGGTTAGCTAAATGTACATGATAAGAGACAGGCAACAATAGTAGGTAGGCAGCAAACGTGATATTCTAAAGTGATCTTATCAGTACATTCATGGAGATTTAAAAAGGAAAATAATTGTATTAAACAGAAATAGCTAAATTACAGATAAGCAGACAGAAAAGCAAATTGCATTCCCTAGAAATAACCATGCTGGACATGGCTTCCTAACCTGATGCACAGCAGATGAAATATATTATTATTAATCTTTTACTCCAGTATGGGTTTCTACTTTTTCATTTAGTTTTTATGGGAGTAATTGTACTTTTTTTTGAGTACTCTACCTACAACTGGCCAGCGGCCCCAGTAGTAGCGCTGACATGGTGAACATGAGACAGAGTGCAGGGATGAGGGCAATAGCACAACACAGTCCAAAGCACCAGTTTATGGTAAGATTGATGATCATATGGCTTATATAGTTATCTACTCAAGGGCTCAGCTGAAGTGATTTCTTTACTTTAGGAGAGTTCGTTCTAGTTTTGTAAATGTATTTGTAATGGCTCATTAAGTTATGTACTCAAAAATTCTGAAGAATACAGGAGAATGTCATCAGAGTTTGCATTGAAGCCAGTTCTGTGTTCACAAACATTTGTTGCAGGGAGAGTCAGGGCCAAGTGAGACACAGTAAATATCAGTAAATAGACCGCTCACAAGTGTAACATTAGGTTAACTAAATGCATTTGTGCCTTGGCTAGCTCCATTAACTAGCAGCTGTTCCATGGTTTTTATGGAGTAGGGTTGGTGATCTTTAAAACAGTTTGAGGCCTCCAGGATAGCGTGCTTCTTGCATGTAAAGGTTTGTTCTAGTTTACTCCGATATTGAGTAGCTTCACAATTTCAAAAGTACTTCAGACATAGAGCATAATCTGGAGCAAATATTTAAACGCTCTCTCTTTCGCTGACTCCTTCCTGCTCTTATGCTTAGAGGCCAAGAGTGTTATAGCCTGGCTGTGTTCTTAAAACATAGAAATACATGATAGATGCTGTTTCTTCTCACGCAAACTTCTTTATCCCTTTTTTCTTTCAGTGAAAAGAAAGAAAACATTCAGCCATTTGCTTCAGGAGTGAGTGTCTTTATTATTTTCTGCCATGTTGTTAGCGTGTTTGAGGTCATTAGCTGTGTGTTTATGGTCTCCTTCCTCCTTTCTTCCCTTGAGTACCCCCCTCCTGCCGCACCCTCACTCCATTCTGTAGGTTCCCTCCACTTCACGCACCAAACTAACCCATCTCTCTGGGTCCTCCAACTCCCTCTTGGCCAGGGAGCAATGGGGGTGGGCACTGACTCTCTCCCCGTAATGAACTCCATGGGGACTGCTGTTCAGTTTCATCACAGTAACAATTGCTCCCATGGTGCCCTGAACACAGTAAAAACAAACAAAAGTAAATATCTGGAATTAATACACAAGTTGTTTGGCTATAGCCCCACCGTCATGGACTTCTCTGCTTCAGAGTTTAGAGATATTTATGTATTTTATTTATCTGCATTTTAGGTTTAATGTTAAAAAACACATTTTTGAAAAAGTGAGGAATAATGCAGTTTTTTTCCTGTTGTTTGCCATATGTCCTAAATCTATGCATCCCTAAGTCCATCTTGTGGTGAAAAGTCTTCACTGCAGTTTAGCGTTTAGTGGGGAGTCATTTTAAAATATATAAAAATGCTCTTTAGCAGACAGGAGCACACATACTTTGTACAACGCTAAAGTTTTAAGTTTATATGATTAAATGTGTCCATGCAAAAATTAAAGTATGAAAAGAAATATGGGACAAACACATGGGAAAATGCATCGTCAAAGCTTTGTAAAGATAGTTTAGTTAACCAACTAATATTCAACTAGTTCATGTTATGTGCAACACATGTGGCTGGAGTCTCAGACTTCATGAGAACAAGAGTACAGAGAAAGAGGAAGCCTTGCCCTCATTCTTTAAATAGGGTTTGAGATTTTACGGAACTTTAAAAGCATGGTGTATGTGTGTGTGTGCTTATGTGTAGATTGAAGAAACCGCACGGAAGAGATAGCAGAATAATCTCTCAGCTCATCATTTGTCCCAGGTGATCTCTGAGTGTTCTGAGGCAGAAAAATGGGGCCATTCCAGAGGACATTGACTTGGATCCCCCCCCCCCGTTTGTTTGTTTTGTTTTTAGAAGACTGGAATATCAATATTTTTTTCACATATGAAATAGCTTGTGGCGCATGCTTGGCAATGGCAGCCTGAGCTTCAAACATATTAGTTTGCTGGGAGAGAAGAATCACCAGGGACAGTCTCCAAACACAAGTGGGAACAGCAGCACAGTCCTGTTCATCATTTGAAAGCTGTTATTGTTTGAACTTGAGTAACTTTAAACAGGTTAAACTCATATTTATAATGAAACGGATGTCTTATAGGCCTGCTCGGTTTTTAGGTTAGAATATTTGTCAGCAGCTGCTCTCCAGGGAAAATGTTGTCAGGTTCAGGTAAAGAAAGACAAGGAAGCTACACCCAGCAGTCCACAACTGGCGTCAGTCATCAGCATTGTTCCTCCTGACACACATAACATATGTGAAGGCA